GATCCCATGATGAAGTAGGGAATTTTTAGAGACCATCAATCTACTGAAATATTTCACTTAATTCAGCAGATAGGTGAAAGTTCTAATCAGAAAAAGGTCTTTTTTTTTTTTTTTTTTTAACAAATATGACCTATTCGCAAATTGTGGTCTTTTAGTTCCATTTGGTAAAATGAAGTAAAAGAGCTACATAATAAACTCTGTCATAGGGTGATCTAAGATCATTATCATTCATTATTTGAAAGGTAGTAATTGAAGGTCTAGCATACTACCTTCCATTTGTGTAGGATTTCCCTGTTTATAAAGAAGTTTTACACAGTCACTGACTCTCTTATTTTCATTTTGAAGATGAGGAAACACAAAAAGCCTGTCATGATAAACAATGTGGATATGGTCTGGTGCTGGGTCTAGCACTGATTTCACCTCATTTTCCTGAAAGAGTGGGATGAGAAAGAAATATATAAGAGAATGTCTCTCCATCTAAATGGTAACCGAGCCCAGTTAGATATTTCTTTCATACCCTCCTCTCCCAAAATTCATGCATCCAGATTTGGTTGTAATGGGAATAACAGGGTAAACAATTAATCAGATTGTGGCATTAGAAGGTGGGGCCTTTGGGGAGAGATTAGAATAGAGGTCTTAAGGATGTGCCCGTGTAATTGGGTTCTGGGGGGTTTATAAAGAGAGGAAATGAGAGACACTACTGCCCTCATGATGTGATACCTCAGGACTCAGCAAGACCCTACTGGATGTGAACCCTGGACCTTTGACCTCTAAACTTTGAATTGAATTAATCTCTATTCACTTAAATTCCCAGTCTCAGGTACTTTTTCTTATTAGCAACACAACAGACTAGACCATCAATACAGAATTCAGTGCACAGTAAACCCTAGGAACTTGATTTGAAAATCTGTGGTTAATAATATCAACAATAGCAATTTATATATCACTAATGCTATGGCAGGAACTGTTCTAGACACTATTAGTTCACAGAACCCTCACAACTCTGTGAAGTAGGTGGGACAATTACTTTTGTTTTACAGATAGGGAAACTGAAGCACAGAAGAGGTTAAGTGACATACCCAGTGTCATATAAGCTAACAGCATGAGGGTTAAGATATTTTTTTTAAAGAATATGCAAATGTATTGCCCCAGTACTAACAATGTGAGAGATTAATTTATATTCTGAGGGTAATGTGGGCAAAGCAAAGAACTGAAACCTATTACCTCTCCCCTCCTAATCAGGTCATTAGATGGCATCATCTAAAAATTCATCCTAGTGATTTAAGCCTTTGTACAAAAGGAGCTTTGAACTATGCTTGGATGAGCTTTGCTTTTTGTCAGTGACAGGTTCTGACCTTAGGTAGGATATGAGCAGCCACAAAAAGGGCATCTGCTCTCCTCTTTCTTCTGGTGAGAACAGGGCTTCACTGGTGAAAGTTTAAATGACCTGGTTTCTTCTGGTCCCTGTGAAAACAAGTGATGTGCGTTTCATTTCATCTCATTTCCCCTAGTTTCATGTATGCACATTCAAAAGGTGAGGGGGAGCTGTGAAGTGAAGTCCTGAGCGAAAGTTCTATTTGCTCCTCTTATATCTGAAGCGAAGTAAAGTAGACGCAAATTGTGAGTGTGCCTGAGTACAGGGACCTGCAGATCACTTGGCTGGGCGTTCAGGTAGGTGATTCCTACCCTTCTCTACAGTAAAGGAAAATAGGGGTGGACTGTGAGCTGCACCACTCAGAGTTTTGCTTAATCAGAGATCAACATAATAAATAATCAAGTTTGCTCAGTGCCTCAGAGTTTACAGAGCTTTCATGTATATTACCATTTCTACAAGTCAGGCAGTAGAAATGAACTAACTTAACACACACAGTTGGGATCCAAATCAAGCTGGACTCTCGCATTCAAAGTTTACTCTCTCTTATTTTTTTTTTAAATTAAATATATTTCTTCCATGAGTGAAAAAGAGAGAGGGAAGAAGGGGGGAGGAGAGAGATAGCACTCCCAACAGTGCACTAATTGGATTATTACTTTTTAAAAATATTTAATTCATTTATTTACTTTTTAAATTTACATTTAGAGAGCAGCAGTTGGCATAATGGCTATGTCACTGGACTCCCAAGTAGTTGACCGTGGTTCGAGACCTGGACCCAGTGGGTTAAAACTCACGCCGGGCATGTGTGTGTGCATGCCCAAGATCTCGAGAGGAGAATGGAGGAGAAGGGATTGTGGCATGGCCATCCCCCCTGGGGGGCGATTTCTTGCTTTCTATCCCTCTGTCTCTGTCTTTCTGGCAAGCGCACGTGCCCTATAGCAAAAACCTCTCAAAAAATTTTTACATTTAATCACTATATGCCTTTACCATGTACAACATTGCTCTTGACACCATGATCCACCCCCAGTTTCAGCCAGTCCTAGATCATGGCATACTCGGTCCTCCAGATGTGAACACAGAACATCACCACGTAGGTCAGCCTCAAAGTGTGTACACTTGACCACTGTGCCACCCTCCAGCACCCTCAGAGCTGTTTCTCCTTTCACTCCATCTTCCCTTCCTTTGCTACCTCCTTTGAACATGCTATTCTTGATCAAGAAAAGAGAAACTAAAACACTTTCATGATTTTCCATCTTCCCTTCCTTTGCTACCTCCCTTAAGAAAAGAGAAACTAAAACACTTTCATGATTCCAACACATATATAAAAATGGAAGGTAATCATTTCAGTAAGACCTAGAAAAGAAAACATGGCAATCTTTGTTTTTTTCCACTGAATCATGAAGGTCCTAATTCAGCAACATTGGGAGAGAATTTCAGTGATTGTTTTGTCTATGCTTTTTGGCAGGTGAGGTGATACTTTGGATGGCTTAGGAACTTTCTGCAGGTAGTTAACCTCCAAATTCAGCATAACATTTTAGATAAGCAATAGACAGATTGGTTTTCATTTTTTTAATATACATTTTGACTTTAATGGGGCTTGGACAAATCTCAGGAGCAGTTACTGCTGCCAAAGGCACCATCACATAAGCTCAGCCAGCGACTCTGCCCACAGACTGCCCAGATGGGTTCCATCCCTGGGTTGCTGCCTTAGAAGTTCTGAGGATCACGACCCATAAAAATAAATGTTTTAAGGAGCACATGGTCACCTCCAACAGTAGGATTTTGGTGCTCAGTGCTAAGAGTACATTAAAAGAATCCTAGAACTGGGGGGGGGGGTACAACATTAGTGCAATTAGACCCTCACAGGGAAGGTCCTTGGTTCACCTTCTAGTGCCTCCTTGTACATGCTGAGTATGTGTGGGTGTGCCCATAATCTGGACTAGCTGAGACTAGAGATGGGTCATGGTCTGAAGGTCTGTCTCTCTCATGAACGAAATTAATTAATCATCTTGAAAACAAAGCCCCCATTACTCTAAACATCTACTCTGAAAACCAACACTGATTAGGCTTCAGGAAAACACTTCACAACTTTCGCTCCATGTCATTGGGACAGAAAGTGACATGCATCTAACACCTGGAGGGTCTGCAAGGTGTGCTGCAGCTGACCTAGGAGATGGCCACTCCTCAGTGTGGAGACATTTCATCAAAGCAAACTCAAATGAATTAAACTGTCAAAGATTTCCTTTCAGATAATGAGCATCTCAACAGCCTCAGACAGTCAATACTATTTCCTAGTAGTACCCAGCATCCATTTTGTTGCTTCTCTTTAAGTTCCAATTTGTGATTCTGGAGCAAGTCACACATTAGTATAGTATTTGCATGTAGTTGAATGTGGTGAATGAGGTATATTTGGCAAAATTAAATATTATTACTTTAAAATGGTAGATGTATAGTCATAACATATGAAACACAATACTGCTTCCTTACGTTGGTAACTAGTTGAACACTGAGTGCTGGACTTGTTAATAGGTTTATGTTTTATTTACAAACGAAGAAAGCATCATTAAATTTTTACATGTACAATACCATCTTTAAGGCTTTTCAAAATCTTATTTCAGTGTTGATAGTTATCATAATTTCTATTGTGCATTTTAATTTTCTTTGTTGTTGTTTTTTGTTTATGTTTTTTCCTATAGGGCACATGCACTCCCCAGAAAGACAGAGAGAGACAGAAAGCAAGAAATCACCCCCCAGGGTGGTGGCCATGCCTCAATCCCTTCTCCTCCGTTCTCTTCTCGGGATCCTGGGCACGCACGCACATGTGCCTGGCATGAGTTTAAGACACTGGGTCCGGGGGAACCAGCAGTTAGCATAATGGCTATGTTGCTGGACTCCCACGTAGTCGACCGCAGTTCACGTTCCAGACCTGGTGGCTTAAAACTTACACTGGGCGCGTGTGCGTGCATGCCCAAGATCCCGAGAGGAGAATGGAGGAGAAAGGGATTGCGGTGTGACCATCCCCCCTGGGGGGTGATTTCTTGCTTTCTGTCTCTATGTCTCTGTCTGTCTGGTGAGCGCATGCGCCCTATAGCAAAAACCTCTAAAAAAAATAAAGAAAGAAAGACACTGGGTCCGAGACTTGAACTACAAACTTTGAATCATTCAGAAAAAAATTAGTTTCAACTACTGGAATATAATTTTAATTTTCTGAATTAAAAGTTCACATTCTTGATGGAAAAATATATACTCAAATTTTATGAGTTGACTATATTAATGCTTTAGATTAGTGTCATCTAATTGACCTACCTGTGGTGATGAGAATGTTCTAGATCTGTTTTGTCCAATATGGCAGCCATGAGTCACATGTGACTACTGAAATATATAGCCATCAAGATACAAACTGAACTGGAAGTCACTTGGTGCTAACCATATAAAACAGAATTGCTTTAGATCAGTGCTGTCAATACAGTGCAAGTTATGTGAAAACCTTGATCATAACAACAAATTAGTGATTTTACTAAAATAAATGGAAATATCAACTTCATGCAATAAATATTTATAAATTATGTATGTCTTTATTACTTATCTATATAGCCAGACTATCAACAGAAATTCCTGATATGCATAATAACAGTCAGATGTCTTTTATTTTGATTTTTGTCACATAAAAATTATAGGTTTCCTTATCTTTCTATTTGTCAAGGTAGAAGGATATAACATAGTTGTTTGCTCACTTGATTAATAACTGAACTATTTAGACAAATGGTAAGTGGGTCTCCATCGTACTCTTGCTTAGCCTACCAACCTTAGGGACTGGCCTGACAGCACCTCTACTGCAGACAAGCCATTTTGTAAATGTCTCTATTGTCCCCAGAGAGCTAGGAGGGACATGCGGTTAGACTAAAATGAGAAATGTCCACTGCTGAAAAAACAAGTCAAAGCAAATGTCCCACTGGGAGGATCCTGCCAAGTCTCTTCCTTAGAGAAAGTCCAATCCATTCCTTTTCAATAGAGGCCTTCCATTTAGGCGCAAAGGCTACTTTGACCAGTTACCTGTGAGAGAGAAAAATCAACAGTAACTATGAATTAGCTCCTGGCAGTCCTCCCCTATCACCCTTCAAAAAGTGGTTGGAGGTCTACTAAGAGGAGAATTGTTTTAAGATTGTGGAGTTGAGATCAGGGGTCATTGAAATTAACAGACTTTCCCCCACGCTTTAAATAACAAGAAGACAGGACTGGGTTTCTACAAGTTACCAGGGTGGCCCTGTGGCTGCAGCATGGGGGTCCCACTGCACAAAGACATTCTCTCCACCCCTGCCATGGCAGGGCAGATGTAACACATTCCTTCCTGCTCAAACATCCCCACCTCCTAGCAGACTTACACATTTCCTTACCCTTGGCATTCCAGCCTTAAGATTGCCCTATACCCTATCCCCCACCAGGTTCCTTGGGGGTCGAGCCCTCGTTGGCCCACAGTGCAAACCTGTTCCTTAATACCCCCTATACTGTAGACTTCTTTTTGCACTAAATTCTAACGTCAGGGTCGGCTGCTGAAGGACCCCAGCATAAGACAATGCCCAGCACTTAGTGTTTGACAGAGAGTATTACCTTAATAGATATTTACTGAAGGAATTAACATGCTTTGTGAATGAAAATCCAGACTAATATTAATTCTTCATCAGGTTAGGAAAGTTGCATATAAGCAAAATGACTAGATTGACTGCTTACCTCCTTATCCTCTATATGCTTACATAAGCGTAAAAGCGCCATAAGAAAGCCCACTGCCATCTAAAAGAATGGAGAAACACTTAACAGACCCAAGAATGGAAAATTCTCTATTGAAAATTATGTATATGGCAATATCTTTGATTATCAAATAAGAGAACATAAATAGAAGAATTGAGCTTCCTTATGGCATACCACACAATTTTATCTAAATGCAAAGCCCAAATTTCAGACTTACACCATCCTCACTTGCTGATTCTTTTTATTTTTACATTTTGCTACCAGGCAAGTGCATGTCTGGGAGAGACAAAGAGCGAGCGAGTTAGAAAGTAAGAAAGTAAGAAAGCATTCCCCAGAGAGGATGGCCAGGACTCTGCAGTCCCTTCTTTATTCTCCTCTTAGGATGAGACATGCACACACATGCCTTTGGTGAGTTTTTCAAGCCTGGGACTGGGGACCCAAACGGTGCAGTTAGAGCGGATCCAGACGTCTCCACCACCACAACATTGGCTGGTTCATCTTTTTGAGGTGTGAGGCTTCAAATGCTCTGTTTGTAATTAAAAATAAGGCTCAAAAGTACCTGTTTGGGAGAAGTAGCAAGATGATCTAAGGTCATTTTAAGTAAATGATTAATTTAGAAACTGAGGAAGTCTGATAAGGATCTGATAAGTGGAATTCTTGGGGAAAGAAGAGTGCTGGTTGCCACACCAAAGGCAAAAAGGCCATTGATCACCAAACTTGCCCTAATAGAATGAATGACAGTGTAAGTTATCCTTGTCGGTTGGTTGCTGAGACCACGGAAGACAGAGTCAAGATGACTGCTGGACCAACAAGAAACATCCGTTTGGATTCATTCCTTAGGACTTCATAAGGACTCTAAGTAGGGGAAGGATCAGGTCTCCGCGGGGGGTAGCAGGCCAGAGCTCAGGCGGGCCTGCCTCAGAGTATCACTGCTGGGTGGATCCCACTGCTGGACTGTGTTACTCAGTTTCTTTTTCTAATTAAACCTCTTTGGAGTCCTCCAGTGCATTCAGTTAGCTAGGCCAGGAGCCTACTCAATGTATTTATTCCAACTGAGATGGAAGGAGGGCTTTTTTTTTTTTTACAATTAAAATTTGAAAAAAAAAAAGGGTACTCTTCTCTGAAGCACTGGCAGGCTTTTTATTCTACTGAAATAGTCATCTTAGTCCCCAATGGTAAATTAAAATATTTCAAGACATTATTTACTTCCCACCTCCATTCCTCCCCCGTTTCCCAGCACTTTGCACCAGAGACAGACATCACAGGTTATGTCCAAACCCTCGTTTCCTGCGACCGCCGCTTTCCGTGCACTGCTCGCGGCTCGCTCCGGGCCCACTCTGGAAGCCGAGGCACGATGCAGCGACAGAAGCGAGTCCTGCTTCCTAGGTGCCAGGAGCCCGCGGTTCCTGTGCCCCCGGGGGCTGACCCGGTGTGGGCCGGCGCGCAGCAGGTCTCTCATCGCTCGGAGCTCCCGCTCCTTCCCGGGAACCCTCTAACTTCGCTCTGGCTGCTTTGCGGAGCAGCCCGCAGCTCTTCAGAGCTTCCGTGATCGCCTCGCTCGCCTTCCTCGCAGCCGCCGGGAGCACAGGCCCTGCTCCTCCGGGGGGAACTGGCCCCGCTCCGTGACACCACCGTCTGGCACCAGCGCAAGAAGCAGGCCGCTGGTCCAGCCCCGCCGCTCTCGCAAACTCCTGGTGGCTCAAATATGTCATTACATTAAC